ATAGATGGTCAACTCTTAAAGGTTAAATAGATGAATAATGTGCATTGTATGGGCCAATTCATGAGCAGTGTTACTGAGCCAGTTTTAACCTTGCTTCCCTGGGGAGGCTGGCAAACCTTTTAAAGAAGTATCTTAACCAGCTAGAAAGTGAGCATGAATTTAAAGACAACCACCAGATGTGGCTTCAAAGCTTTCAAAAATGCTGAAGACATTTGCCTTTCATCTTTAATTAGTATTATTTTGGCATCTGCTGGTGCCTAACAATTAAGGCTTGTCAAAATCTATGTTAGAATCTCCCATCTTGACATTTAGTTTGTCCTAGTATACAGTCAATCAAATGTCAATAGAAGGCTTCACATTGAAGTCACAGTTTTCTACACATAAAACTATGAACACTTCTAATTTCTAATATAATGCACAGTACTATCTTTAAAATATAAAATAAAGGTTTTAAATATTAGAATTTTCTTGTAACCTTTATAGAAATGTTGCATGTAAAATCACTGTGGTATAAATTTTATCAATCTTAACTTTTCTTCAGCTTGACCATACTTAGTGGCATTGACCTGAATTGGAGATGGGGATGGATACAACAGGGCATTCAATCTATCATGCTGCTTATTTTGAGGAGAGTACTTTGGCTTAAGCAGACCATTTAACTAAGAAGCATGTAAGATTAAGAGCAGTTAATGTTTACTGAGTATTCACTGAACATTACCTCTGTTCCAGACCCTTTGCTTGATATACAGACTCTGCTATTTCAACTTCATAATTATCTCAGGAAGATTTGTCCTATATGAGAAGATGAGAAATAGGAAACCAGAGAGTTCGAGTAATTTGTCCAGGATCATAAGCCAGGTAGTAGTAGAGATTCAAATAAAGCCACTTAAATGTAATACAAGGCATCAGTGCCTTACCATGTGCACCGAGGAGATCAGGAGAGTCTGCAAAGAAAGTAAACCTGGATAATATGCTAAGCCAGTTGGACCAGAAGGTGTTCCCAGGCATCAGAAATAGGAAAAGTGTCCATTCCCCTCTTTGCTGACCTCTATCCATACATTTTATATTGTCAGAGATGTAATACAGAATAATAAAAATCACCATCATTTCAAATTAGTGCAGGTGGATTCAGTATAACTAATCTGGTAAACAGAAAAACGAAGGGCAAATTAACTTTCACTTTACAAGTTATCACAGTTTGATTGTGTTAAAAACTTTACAATAAAACATTATATTACATGCACTGAGTACTATTTGCTGCGTCTTAAACTGAGAACTCAAAATTGAAAACAGTAAATAAAGGAAATCTTTTAAACAAAATGAGTGCAGGGTATTACAGCTCAGTGATGCAGCACATGCTTGGCTAATGTGAAGGCCTGAGTTCAGTCCCCAGCACCTCCCTGCAAAAGAAATAAACAGTGTGGGTTAGCACAAAAAATGATTAGGTTTTTATGTTATGTCAAGATCATTGTATTCCTGGAATTCTAATAGAACTGGCACTACTTTGAGAAGTCATACAATAATAAAGAGCTGTTCAAATTTAATATATACTTTCAAAATGTTTTCTATACATAGTTTTATTTTTACTCATCATAAAAGAGATGTGAAGTATGTACTGTTAATCAATTCAAAAACTAAAAAGAAGCAAAAACTAACACTCTCCCTGAAGGAAAATCATTGTTAATATATTGATGAACTTTTGATTCATGAGTTTACTGTAGATATTGATATAATTTGATATATAGTAATATACAAGCACTATTTAAGGTATCATAAAATGTACCCTGGTGATCAGTACCATATATAAATTTATATATATATATAAAACGTATATATGATAAAAATATATGATGTGAGTATCATATATATGGATTAGTTTTCCAAAATGTTAATTGTAATTGTAATGTATCATTTTTATAACTATTGCATAGACTTACCATACAAATATTATCCAAGGTCCTATTGATGGACATTTGGATTTTTCCGATACAAACAATATTCAGTTGAACATACTTAGTAGTGTTTGGGAAGTTGGCAGTTTGTCAGAAGATTCCAGGGGAACATGTTGGGCTTTATCCAGAGAACTGCCTACAGTACGCAGACCACCTCTGTGGTCTTGAGGAACTCTGACTCCTCAGTGAGGAAGCTGAGTTCTGAGAATCTTTCGGCATTCCAGTTTAAAAATGGTAATGGAGATCCTGAGTGAGAACTATGTTCTAAGAAGTAAGTGAAGTCCAGAGAGGCATGGCTTTTGTTTACTGTTTGTGCCGCTGCACCTGCCATCTGTCATTGCTCTCTCCCTACTCACCTCACTTACTCTTCCTATATGTCAAGCAGTCCAGGGCCTTATATCCCTGATGAATCAAGGAGGTGGAAAAGCATCTTTACATGGTAGAGAGCCCAGGAACGGTAGAGCACTGTTCCCTATTCCTTCACATCACATCCTGATGTTAGTAAAATTTAAATTAAAGTGACAAATACATGGCTCAGCTTTTCCCACAGAGAGCCTGCATTTAGAAGACCCCATTTCACTCTGGTTTGCAAAGCATCAATCATAATGTTTTAATTTGTTTTGTATTTGACTGAAGAAAACCATCCTATTCTGGGAATAGTTTTGGTCCAAAATGCCTGATCATGAACGCAGTTCCACCACTCAGTAGTACGGGGCAATATGTGAGTCTTTGTTTCTCTGAAACAGAAACATTTTGAAGAGAAATATTGGATTTCTCCTATTTGGTGTAGATTTGCTGGGCAGGGCAAGAGTGTAAGCAAAGACACCATGAACAATTGCCTATTAATTCAGTGACAATATCATTTAAGATTAAGACTTCGCAGCTCTGTGCTGTATCTGGTATTATCTTCATCCAGAGGTAGGACTCAGAGCAATTAAGCAACTGGCCCAAGAATTTGAGACAGACTGTGTCTTAGTTACGGTTTTGCTTGCTTCTGAGACAAAATACCTGAAGCCCAAGTTGGGAAAGGAAAGGTTTATTTCTTACAGTTTTTGGATATTTCAGTCCACACTTATTTGGCTCCAAGGCAGGCGGGCATGGCTGGGCCGCAGTTCATGGTGGCTGCAAACCGCAAGCAGGAACCAGCAAAGAGCAAGACACACCCTCTTCCTGCCATTACATCACATCCTGGCTCCACCCCTTTGTGGGTGGAGCACTGACACCATCAATCCAAGCACTTGACAATGAACCATCACAAATGCACAATGCAAACTCATGAGCCTGGGGGCCACAGACACCTTGACAGACTGTGTAGAGTCAGAACTCAGGTCCAGACCTGTGACCATAAAAGGTAAATCCTTTCTTCATACCATATGCACATTTGAAAACTCTGCAGAATAATTTTTTACATTAGACATTTGTACCACAAGAGCGTTCTCAGTTATTTAACGGGATGTGACTCTGGAGGGAAAATATGATTTCTCTTCTGAATTGTTAGCCTCTGGCATCTCATTTGTCATTTCACCCTTCCTGTCAGTCTAGATTTCTTTTAGAAGTGAGTGTCCACATTTTGTGTCTTATTATGAATTACAACAGAATTCATTGGTATCATCCCTAGTCTGTCATCCCAAAGAGTTGCTACAAAAGAAAAATAAAAAAGACTTTCACAGACACAGTAGAGGGCCTTTAACTGTTAATGACATTTTCAGATTTCCATTTTCCCTTCTAACCTGTCTTACACATTTACAGCAAACCGGAACTCATTTATTTGAAGTATCCTCACACTTGCTTCTAAGGAACTTGTCTTGTTAATTTTATTCTCTCAGTCTGAATTCAATTTGTATATTATGCATAAAGAAAACAGGGACTTTGCTATTCCTATAGATGAGGCACTAAATAATTCACAACTAAGGAGAAGAGGGCTATACTTCAGCTGAAAATCAGCAAAGTTCTCATTGGTTCTGAGTAATATGGGCTGTGTGGTATTTTCTTCGGGAAAGGTGCTACTCAAGAACACTTGATAATTTCCTTATATTGATATTAGGTGATTATTCTATTTATGCGCCTTCCTTTCCTTGCAAGTCACCTTGTTGAGATTTCTGGTAAGAGAAACACAAACAACCTGTGTGAGATACGGCATTTGGGGGACCCAGCCGTCCTCCAGAGCCACTGGAAGTCATGTGGGCTGCAGCTGAGCCCTGAGCCCCTGGAGGACATGGAGGCTCAGTTCAGTTCTCTCCAGTTAGTACAGCCAAGGAGTGAAGTCTGAGATAAAAGCATGTCAAAGTCATCATGCTTGTTGGACAAAAGCATAGTTTTCAAAACCTCTTGCAGGATATCTTAGTACAATTTCTTTTTCCTTTAACTGGAAGAAGAGAAAAAGATTGAGAAGTAAAAAAAAGAAAAATAACATTACAGTATGTACATCGGCAGTTCATCAGAGACATAGGACAGTAACTGAATTTCATGGTTCAGATTTGTGGCTTAGGAGTAAGGACAGAGAATAAAAAGACCCAGAAGGAGAAAAGTTATAACATGTAAACACATTATATGAAATGAAACAGTACCATTAACAGCAAGTGTATTTTTTTTCTTCTAGTCCATGTGGGTAAAAAAAAAAAATCAATTTGGAGTCTAATTAGTTAATCTCATGTGATACAGGGAGTGAGAATGGACAGTGGTTTTGAGTAGTGAGGTGTTTTGCTGTTGTTATTTTTATTGTATTGCGTTGCGTTTTGTTTTGAGCCACAGCCTCACAGTTTAGACTGGCCTTGAGCTCACTATGTAGCCTAAGGCCAGGCTGGAACTTGCAGGAACCTTTCTGCTCAGCTTCCCAACTGCGCAAATTACCAGTGTGTGCCACTGTGCCCAGCAATTCCTGAGTTTTAAACTCAGTGGTTCCAGCAAGAATTTCCTGCACGTGTGACTAGGGAGTAGTTAGGGTTCACTGAAGTGTCCCATGTGCCTGCTGACTTCAGGATACAATGCTTTCTCTGTTATACTAACTCTAGAAGCTGTTCTTATGTGTCTCTCTCACTTTCCTTTAAGGTCCAGTTGAAAAGCGAAGAATCCAAAACCTTTGCGATGAAGATTCTCAAGAAACGTCATATTGTGGATACAAGACAGCAGGAGCACATTCGCTCTGAGAAGCAGATCATGCAGGGGGCTCATTCCGACTTCATAGTGAGGTAAAGACCTGCCCCGCACTCTCCGGTGACGAGCCGGCCACAATAACCACTGCCACCCTGCCCACATTTACACATCATTTATACAAAGACCCTTGAGGGTTTTTGATTAAAAAATAAAGTTTGAGTCTATCTTTTATTTTGTAAGAGAATCTGATTCTCTGGACAGAGTATTTTTTTTCCAAAGGAGGCATCTATTTCTAACATTCTATTTTCAACCTGTTACCTATAACACCACCTTCATGGTTGATGCTTACATCACTAAATAGTTAATATTCTGAAAAACATTTTTAAAAACAAAATGACAGCTGATCCTTTCATCTCAGTGTTTTGAGAGCACTAAGAGAATAATAAGAGAGCTTTTTATATGCTGAAGTAACTTTCATAACTTGCCAGTGGCACTTACAGAAAATAAGATATAAATATAAGTGAATAGCACGTGAAATTCACAGATAGCTACACATAACAAAATTGAATCTAATTTATATCCACATGCACAACATGTTTATTACTACCCAGTGTTGCTTAAGGATCCATGCTTGAAACATCAGCCAAATGGATTTGAGAGAATCTCAAAAACCCCCTTATCCATCACCATTTGGATTAATCCATTTTAAGGGCTATACTAACCTTTTGCAGCATGGAAGTCTTACTCATGAGGCACTGGCTTTCTTTCCCCTATTTGGAGAATTACGTCTTTCATTTTTCTTCCAAATTCCATGTAGCATTGGCTGTGGTGGTGCATAGCTGTAATCCCAAAAGTCAGAAGTCTGGTGCAGAAAAATTGCAGTGATTTCAAGGCCAGTGTGGGCTATGTACGGAGTTCAGCCTCACTATACAGAAAGGCTTTGTCTCAAAACACCCAGAAAATTTAGAGTATGGCACATTAAGAGACATACCATAAATTTATATGACACTCATAAATTTATATGATTTGTGATAACTTTAAAAATCCCGCTTTTTAGCTACTTTGAATAATTCACTACAATGTTAACAAGTAGAATTAGCCTGACTATATAATAGACCATCAGAATTTATTCCTCTTGTTACTTTGTATCATAAATATATGAGGTGATATACATACTAAATACCTCTCTTGACTATTAGTGTACATATATGTGTATCAAAACGTTCTACTGTATACTATAAGTATGTACAACTACCTGTCAATTAAAAAACAAAACAAAGGAAAAATCATTTCTTAAGGTTTAAAAAGTTACATGCTTTGAAAACACAACAATTTTCATAACCTTTGATTTCTTGTTTGCAATTCACAGGCTTTACAGAACGTTTAAGGACAGCAAATATTTGTACATGTTGATGGAGGCTTGCCTAGGCGGAGAACTCTGGACCATTCTCAGGGATAGGTAGGAAAGTTGGGAAATGTTTATTCTGTCTCCAAAAACACAGTTGTCTTTGACCATCTGTAAGAAAATTAAATTATTATGAAGTATAAATAATTTTATTTCTGTTTTATATATGCTTAGATTTTAAAATGTAAACATAAGCTCTAGCCCATTATATAAATGAAATTTACTATAACACACGCTAAACTCACATTGTAACTGATGGTATAAATTTAATCTACCATAAAAAATGGTACCTGGGAAATTATATATACAGGACATAGTTCATGAATATAGAACCAAATTGAATGCATTCTGAATTTTTCCTGGAATTCAGTGCTGTGATTTAATTTGAAGAGAGTGATAGCTATTTTAAATTGAAGAGACTGGGTTAATTATCAGTTTATTTGATCCCCTCAGTTTTTAGATGGGTAATCTGCTTTTCATGACTCAGAATTTTTTCAAAGTAACTTCTCCCCTACTTTTCACTAGTTTTTGCTTTCAAAATTAACACAGCTTTTCATCCAGCTCTTCGATTGTTTTCTACTTTGAAGGAAAAATTTGTTTATTTGCAGTATTTCATACAAATAATCTGACATAGATTTACAGTTCACCCTGTGAGTAGACTTTGTCTTCATAGTGCTTGTTTTTTTTCTGATTATACAAAATCATTGTGTCTTAATTCTTCAGTTAATATTTATATAACAAGCAAGTTACCTTGTTTTTTAAAAAATTACCTATAAAATGTCTGAGAAGAGTATTACCTACACCAACTGTTCATTTTTTTAAAAGCATAATTTTATTTACCTGTAAATAACCTTTTGATCATGTCCTGTGAATGATCTACTGATCATTCAGAAGTCATCCATCTGCTTTTGAACACCCCTCTTCAGACCATCTGTATTTTTCTTATTTGTACTCATGCTGTCTTTCAGACTGTCCTTCATAGGTAAGATCTTTTTGAAACCTAGCTGGAGATCGCCCTTATGCTTCCACAAACCATGTAGTGTTTGACATTTGTTACCTTGTAGCTATCTCAGAGCAAGAACAACTAACTCTTTATAGTCTTTGATTTAAAGTTTCATTCCCAGTGATATTCTTACGGTACTTTCATGTCATTGTATGATATGCTCTTTCGGCTCTTTACTCCCATGACTTTACATGTATCAAATGGACATTTTTTTCCATGTATTATGTCCTGTTACACTACGGTTAGCTTTTTACAATTGTAGATAAAAGCATATAAGGGAATGTCTCCTATTTGCATTGAGAGAGATGTTGGCATCTATCCTCTACTAAACTATTATACCATACTACTATGCTACTGTTAGTTAATATCCAAGCATGGATTATATGCCAGGCACTGTGATGAAGGTGGTGATTGCATGATTAAGTAGATGTGATCTCTTGCCTCAGAATTTACAGACTGTTTCGCTAAGTTAGTATTTTGGTTTGTTAATTAATCTTTGGCATATCATGCTGTAGATTTACTGTATTATTTTTGATATGACATTCCAATTTACTCCCTTACCTGAAATTTGTTCCCTATTTTTAAAATTAGAATAGGAGAATATTTGCAGGTGGAATTAACTAGGAAATCAGTGCTAAGCTTCACAGAGAAAGGACCAGCTATTCCCCAATAGCTTTTTAAAACTTTTATTGAGTTTCTTGATAAGATTGACAGTAACAATAGTGATAAAATGCAATATACAATCAACTCAAGTGTCATCATGCTGGCACAGATGTCAATTTTTAAATCATTTTTAAAAGTAAGTATCATTTCACAGTCCTCTCTGTTTGACTTGATTTTACTTTTTGTTTTGGTCATAAATGGAGGTCGAGGCCTCTAAGTAAGAGGCATATGGATTTGTACGGCTTGTTGTGTAACAGCAGCTTCTCTCAGAGGAGCAGATAATGGAAAAGTAAACAGTGGCCTACCTCTCTTAACTGCACGGGACGATTTTTGGCCCTTCCATTTTTCTTCAATTAATCTTTCTTAAATTTGAAGTGCAAAGCTGCTGAGTCTCCCTCAGGGCACTCAGTACCCTACAAAGAGCAGTCGCAACTTGATTCATCCAAAAGATTCAGGAATATTGAAGCTTCAACATTAAAAGCAACAGAGCTATTACATATATATATATATATATATCCATATATGTATAAGTGTACATGTATATGCATGTGTATAAAATTCCCTGGAGATCATTTATCCCTTTGAAATGTCTTCTATACATGCACACACACACACACAGGCACAAACACACACTTTCACATACACTTTGACTGTTTTTAATGTACATGGCTTTTCTTTTACTTAAAGATTGCTAGGAAAATAGCCTAATTTTCAACCCTTAGGTTCCAATTAATTTCTGATTAACCTTGTAACTTTTCAAATGTTTAAATAAGGACTAAAAGTCTTAAGATTATTTAGAAAGAAAAAATATGCATGCAAAAGATTATAATTAGTCACAGTATGCATGAAAATATCTGTGGTTAAAAGAATGAAAACCACCACATTCATTCAATTTCATTTCTTGTCCATAAAAGTGATGAAGAGAAGGTATCCTGAAAGCATCCGAGATTTGAATTGATTTTTTAAACATCTTGTGTGACTTTATTGGTTATAGACTTGGAAATACTTCTGAGCCTTGGAGATTTAGGTTAGGGAGTCCCTGAAAGCAGCTCACACATCTTCCTCCTCCCACTTCTTGCCCTACAGTAGCTGTTTCTTGTCTCTCCCTTTCTTCTTATTGGTAATGAAAAAGAACACACAACAGCTCTTTATTTGCTGTCCAAAAAGTAAAGTTAAAATGACATTATATGCAAACAGAATTTAAGGACTTTTAAGTATTATTTATTTCAGATCGTGAACTAAAGCACTAAAACTTCAACTGTTCCTATTATTTCCCTAGTGTATTTTAAATTAGCTATCATGTTTTAATTTTCTAGTGTGTGACTTTTTGTCTCCCACTTTCATTATTGGTAATGGGTTGGTATAAAGTTTATTTTATTCATCTTCCATCTCTAACACTTAAAGACTTGGCAAGCTCTGAAGATTTCTAAAAGACATAATCAGTTACTATAATGAATTAATGTATAATAACATTCATATAAACATATAATGCCTAACATTAGCATATGCATATGTCATCTGCCAACGTTAATGTATATTTATTTTATTCTAGTGAAATTTACCACCTCAATTATTTCCTTAGTTTATTTAATGTTACTATCTGGCTGGTGTTACTATGTGGCTGGTTCATCTCTCAACTTAGAGTTACGAGGTAGAAAGTCGAAAGAAGACTGAGGAAAGTGTTTTATTGTAGAGGGAAAACGGAGAGCAGAATTTATTGTGAGGCAAAAGCAAGCAGCCCGCGGGCAAATGAACCTGGAGGGAACTCTGATGTGTTGCCAAAAAGACTTTTTGTTCAGGAATTTTTATACAAAAAAATGACTACATCTCAGCCAAGTTGACATCAGCCTATGGGGTTAGAAGTGGGGAAGTTTGATAAAAAAAATGGGTTTGTAAGAACTCAGTGCATGTACCGGGCATACTTTTGTAAGCACTATCAATTGTAACTTTAAACAGAACAAAGACATTCCTTAGAGCAGTCTGAATATCTCATTGCTGGACAAAAATGTCCCACCAATCTAATGAGGCCTTTTTGTTATTGAGCCTCTGGTGCTCTGGCCTTGGCCATCGTGTCCTTCACTGAATCTTTCTGCCTCCCTCCTTGGCGTGGCTTTTTTCCCTGGTCATCTGTCCACTCTGTAACACTGCTGTCAGGAGACTTCCCACGCTCCCTCCCCTCAGTGTCACTCTGAGAAATCCCCTCATCTTCTGGCAGGGTCCTGCTCATCCTCAGCATCACACTTCACAGGACCTGATTGTTTAGGGAAAGTTGGGTCTTCTTGTTAGGTTAGGAAATTAACACCTAAGCCTTAGGAAACAGAATCTAAGCCCAGCCACACCAGTGGGATGGGTTAGTGGTTCATTCTCCCTGGTCTCTTGTTATCTCCCTGTTTCTGTGTGCATTAATTTTTTTCTATTGAATACTTTATAGAATTACCATAGAAACCATAATTTTCAACATTCATGTATCTCACTTTCTGGTCATTTGTATTCCTGGCTACATGCTTTAATCCCATGAGTAATGAGTGATTTTCTACATTATTTTACTTCCTTCTACTTACTTGGTGGAGGGTAATTATTTAAATTCCATTTTAAATGAGCTTACATGATTTAGGTAGCACAGAGTAAAGGCAGTTCTAAGGAAGCGAGTCTATCTTCTTAATAATTTAAGCCCCCTAACAACTGGCAATAAGCCTGCCTACGTGCCAACACCCTTCAGACTGATTACTGTTATTAGTCAAGTTGCCTAGTCTTTTTTGATGAAGTATTTCATTACTATTTTATACTGACATTTAAAGACTCAGTTTATGACAAGTTAATTAAACCATGTAATTATATTTAAATTTGAGTTTGTATATACATATACGTATAATATTCTTTCAAATTGTTATCTACTGCCATTTAGCTACAACAACCAGCCATCCCCAAAGAAGATATAAAATCTTATTCTTTATTCATTTTAAGTAATATAGCTGTCAGTGTACAATTTATTATTTCAAAGAGTTATATAGCACAACTGATTTATTCTTTAAACAACTCTTGAAACTGTTGGCACAACAAGCTTTCACTTTGTTTTAGATCAAATTTACTTTGTCATTTCCGATGTTAATACTAATTTTTCACACTAACTTACCCTAATGCTATGCTTTGTTACTGATTTCAATATATATATTTTAAAATCTATAGATTACTTACATTAGATGCTCAATTATAAAATATCTTGTGTGCATATAGTTTAGTGATTTTTCAATAAAGTAAAAGCAAACAGCCCCAATCCTACAATGGCTCAGGACTAGAGAAACCTTAAAACAAATACACATGGCTATCAAGGACCAGAGATCAAAGATGTACAATCTGTGGTCAATTCATTTCATGGTGAAAGGGGAGGGTTTGTTTGGCAGGCAGTAACAGGCGGTCACTGTTGCCCATACATTTGTGAGAAGAATGAGGGAGGGAAAAGAGGTTAGCAGAGAACTCTTCAAATTTGATTTGTAGCAGGCTTTCTTTTGCACTAATGAAGTTCTTCATTAACAGTGATGATTAGTCCTGCAAACTCTCCACTTCCTCAAAAGACATTAGACCTATCCTCTACCATATTGGTTAATGTTCCTAGATTAAGGTATAATAGCCAAAGAACGGTTTTTGATGCTTAATTTGTAAAGGCCACTGTTTACTGAGTACCAGTTGTGTGACAGACACTTATCCGAAGTACCTGCAATAATTTTTTTGAATTCTTACAAAAACTTGGTGAGATAACAACCATTATTAGCACCATTTTGCACAAGAGAATCCTGTGCTCATGGTGCAATGGTTAATTACACAAAATCAAACAGTAAGTGAAGACTAAACTTGAGCCCAACAGTCATATTGCAGCATCTTCTGCATCCTGAATTTGTATTAATATTTTTCCATCTTCCTGCTAAGGAATAGGTTGTTCAAAATATAACTGTACCTTCCAGCATTTCAGGAAAAGTTGATTTCTCACATATTTACCTTCATGTTAACATTCAGTGACTTTAGCAATGGGTTTCATTAACAAGTGATGCTAAAGGAGGCAGGTCTTGTCCAATCACGATAGCAGAAATAATCTCTTTGAACAATAGTCAAGAGTTTATATGCTTTCTCAAAGAAACATTGGTCACCACATTTTCAGTGCAAAGAATTAATCGATTAAAACAAGACATGTTATATGAAATGAAAAAATATTCCAGGCACCATCTTGTTTTAATTTGCCTTGCAATGTTTTCCATTGGGGAAAAATTGAATTCACATACAATCTGTAGGGTGTAAAAGCGGGCATGTTAATTATATATAGATAATTAGTATTTATTAATCATAATAGTAGTTAATTATATATAGATAATTGGTATTTAAGGCAAATATTCTCCCTAATTGGAAGAAATGTCCTATTCTTGATGGCAAAATATGCTTAACTTAAAAAAAGAGCTAAGAATAAAGAGACTTAGAGATGCTAGCCTAAGACCTTTCGTGGTGAGTGACTTTATTGTAGAGTTGCGTTCTTCTAAGGGTAGTGCAAGTCAGAGGCCCACTGAAGCTGAAAACACATTCTTCTCCAGCAAACTTTCTTTTGCTACCATGAATTCATAGTTCTTACATTCAGATTTCAATGGAAAGAGTATGATGGTTATGAGGGCCTTGACACGTTCTGACACGGTTCTTTGAAAATGTAACTTTTCTTTATATTCTCACAAATATATTGATATATCTCACAGATATACGAAATTCATGAAATCTCAAAAACTGGTTTTTACTTAAATTAGAAATAAACCCATAAACCTCTCTTTAATAAACAGATTTTAGATGAGTGGTCTTTCCCTTGCCCGCTGCTGTAACTCTGTGCCTTTCTAGATCGTAGGAGGCTCTTAAGAGAAGTTAAACAGTCACACTCACAGTGGCAGAGATTTCCTTGGCTTGAATCTCAAATGTTTTAGAAAATCCAAAGGAATTAAAAAAATGTGACATTTAGACATCAGGACATGGGTTTCTTGGTTAAATTTTACCACAGGAATATAATGAAATGAAAAAAGAAAGAAATACCTTCTCTGAGAAACTAATTTCTTATCTACTTTTCATCCCTTTTCCCTATTTCAGAGGTTCATTTGAAGATTCAACAACACGATTTTACACAGCATGTGTCGTAGAAGCTTTTGCTTATCTCCATTCCAAAGGAATCATTTATAGGGACCTCAAGCCAGAAAATCTCATCCTAGATCATCGAGGTTACGCCAAGCTGGTTAGTGCATTTTACATGAGTTCTTTCCTGCATTTTTCAGATGGATTTGTTAATAAAATTGTGTTCATTTGCAAATATTAGAAATTGTATTCATGTTAGTGTTGTATCTTTTCTTAAAAATAGGTTTTGGTGTTTCAGTTTTCAATGAAATATTTTTAGTTATGTAAAAGCTACCAGAAATTAAATTGGCTAAGTTTGAATTACTAATACCCTGGCAAAACATGCCTGGTTACAAGTATGAGAAGTCATCCTTGATGGGATGTGGAAATCATCTTTGATGGTATGTTTTCACAGAGCTGCATCGAAGGAGCTTATAGAATTGATTGCTTCTAGGTAGCCTTCTACTATTTAAAGGCAATGTATATTTGTAGTATAGAAAACTGAAAAGCATTTTACTATTTTAGATTTTAAAATAATTCTGGGGAGGTGAAACTGAGCTTTGGAGATAATGTGACTGAGGCTGCATTAATAAAATATTGTTAACAATTGGTCAAAAGTTCTAAAGATTTACTGTAGAAGCAAACATCTCTTCCTTAAAAGAATACAACATTTTTGGATTTGGATCATACAATGCCTGATTGTATTTTTAAATTTCATAATTTTTATTCAGTAGAAAAATGCAGTTAGTTATGTGTAGTCTCAACTGAATTGTTCTAGAAAATAAAAAGGCTTTCTACATGTGCAGCTCATCTTTCAAATGGTTTTTAGAAACCTCAAGACTGCATTTCAATTTTGTCTTCTGTTTACCAAGGAGAAGTCTTTGGTACCATAGTTCTGTTATTTATTTCCCTCATCTCAAATAATTAATACTAGATGAATTCTCACCTTCATGAAGTCCAGCCTAAATCATGTATTATCTGGGAAAGATGGTAGGTAGGTCCACCAAATGTTCTAAAACTTTGAGTAAAGAAAGAAACCTCCCTGTATCAAAATGGGAAAAATGAAAAGTATTTCCAGAAAGACCTGCTTTTTCCTTTTCTTGTTATACATTTTATCTAATACTCAGACTTCAAATTTTCTTTTAAAATTGAGTTTGAGCAGGTTACTTCATTTGCTTACAATAGACCTGATTTCTATTTTTATGTTTTTAATTGCTGGTTTATTTCAGCAGAAACACTTGTGCATGTTTGACCTCTTTGTCAGAGACAAGGTGGTTGGTTGAGTGTGTTTGTAGTTGCGTCTGCTGTGCTAGTTATTCATAAGTGACTTAAAAATCTTGTTTTTCTAATATTTTAAGGTTGATTTTGGCTTTGCAAAGAAAATAGGATTTGGAAAGAAAACATGGACTTTTTGTGGAACTCCAGAGTATGTAGCTCCAGAGATCATCCTAAACAAAGGCCACGACATTTCAGCAGACTACTGGTCACTGGGAATTCTAATGTATGAACTTCTGACTGGCAGGTATGAACATTTATAGACGATTGCTAGGAAAACTAGAGTACAAAGAACTACATGCTCGTGACTTTTCCACACAGATTTGACTACCTCAACATTATCTTGCTGTATGTCAGTACCATTTTCATGTAGTTAGGCAATAAATTCATGGCACTAGATTTAAAATAGGTCAGATGAGGACAACCAATCCAATACCAACTTTTAGACTCATTAATGCTAATTGTGTGTGTGTACAAATATAAACAGGTCCCATATCTTTATTTTAGATTTTTGAGCCCTGTCATTTAGCAAAAATTAAAGGGAAGTTTAATTATATAGTGATTTCTAAAATCAAATACCGGTGGAAGAGGACATGTTAGCAGTTTTTTATATCTAAATGAAATATGTTCCAATCAACAACTTAAAAAAGGTATTAGGGATACCACAAGATGTATGAATGAATTACAAGCTCCTCATAGACTCAGACTAAAAGACAAAGGACTGCATCACACAACGTGCTAAAGACAGTGAGTAATAGAATCAGAAGAGGGGTAGGTTTGTCTAGGGGGTTTTTGAAGAATTCAAGACTTTACCTGGGTCTTAGACAAAGAATAAAATGTAGATGTAGATAGAAAGGGCATTTCAGGAAGAGATAAGGCTTTCCTACAGTTAATAAAACTACAGCTAGTATACGATCCATCCATCCACTTCTGAGTGTGTTTCCAAATGAAAAGACATGGACTGCTAAAGAGACGCCCAGGTTCACCACAGACCTATTCGGAAGAGCCAGGGAACAGAAGCTGCCTAAGTAAGTGTCTGAGGCAGAGATAAGGAAAATGTTTGTCAAAGATAAACATATAAACATAAAAGCAAATTTTTTAATCAAAGAGTATTAATAATAAAAAACCCAAACTTGGTTCTTCCTCATTTTTTAAACTAACGATCAAAATTGGCAAGTTCAGAGAATACTTAACCAAAGCATCAAATGAAAAGAAAGTTCTAAAATTCTAAGTTCAAGTTTTAGTCTTCGGTGTACAGAGAGCCAGTTTTTCCAGCACCATGTATTAGAGAGGCTATCTTTTTTCCAGTGAATATGTGAGACCCTTTTGTCAAAAATAAGATAACTGAGTGTTTTTGTAGTTGTGTCTCCATCTTCTAATCTGTTCTACTGGTATGCAGGTTTCTTTTGGTTTCTTGCCAATGCCATGCTGATTATCTCACTGTAGCTCTGTAGCATAATTTCAGGTCAGGGGTTGTAATGCTTCCTGCCTTGCCTATGTTGCTCAGAATTGCCTTCCTATTCTGGTCTCTTCTGGTTCCAGATGAATTTCATGAATGTTTTCCCTTGTTCTGTGAGGTACACTAATGGTGTTTTCATTGAGATTGCATTAAATCTGTATATCAGTTTTGGGAGTATGGCCATTTTCACTGTGTTGGTTCTTCCTAACCATGAGCAGGGATATCTTTCCATTTTCAGATATTCTCTTCAATATCCTTTATCAGAGTACTGTAATTTTCAATATATAGATCCTTCACTTTTTTTGTTAGATTGATTCCTGAGTATTTTATTTTTTGGATGTTATTGCGAAGGGTGTGGTTTCCCTAATTTCTGTGTCAGTGAGTTTATCACCAGGCACTAAACTAAAGTCAAAATGGATTAAAGATCTGAATATGAAACCAAACACTAAATCTACTAGAAGAGAAAGGAGGTAAAAATCTTGAAAACATAGGTGTAGGTAGAGACTACATAAATAAAACCCAGATTACATGGGAAATACTTCAAAGAATCAACAACTGGGATCTCACCTTATTAAAAAGGTTTTTCACAGCAACAGAAATCACTGACAGCATGAAAAGACACCCACTGCATGGGAAAAAATTATAACCAATTGTTCCTCAGACAAAGTATTTCTATCTAGAATATACAAAGAATTGAAAAGAATCAGAATTCACAAATCAAAGACCCAATCAAAAAAATGGTCATCTCAGATGAATACACACTTCTCAGATCAGGAAATACAAGTAGCAAATAAATATATAAAGAAAAGTTTGACAGCACTGGTGATTTGAAAGCTGCAAATTAAAAGAACATTGAGATTCCGTCTCACCCCAGAAAGAATCATCACGGAATTAAGCAATAACAAATGCTAGAGGGAATATGGAGAAAAAGGGACACTTCACTGATGGTGGGGTTGTAGACTGGTACAATCACTGTGGAAATTCCACAGAAAACTAGGATTAAAGGTCTCATTCTACCCAGTTATTCCCTTTCTGGGTATTTTCCCAAAAGAATTAAAAACATCATAGCACAGAGATGAATGTGCACCAAAATTTATAGCAGCACAATTTGTAATAGCTAAATCTTGGAGACAACCCAAATGCCCATCAATGAAGGAATGGATAAAAAAGTTGTGATATTTTTATATAACGAAATATTACTCAGCTATAAAGAAGGACAAAGTTGAGACTTTTGTAGGTGAGTGTATGCAACTTGAGTCTGTACTCATAGCTGAAGTAAATCAGACTCACATGTATAAACATCGTATTGCCTCCCTGGTGTGAGAAATTGAAAGCGTAAGTAAGTTCTAAAATGTAAAATAGATATTGTGAAATGAGAAGAAATTGTTCAAAAGGAAAAAGGAAGTATGAGGGTGAAACAGGAAAGGACAGTAGGGAAAAGGGAAAAAGTCAGTCAGACTGTTAGTACTTCCTGGTTCATGGAAAATGAAGCTCTGTACTAAAATTGATTGCAAAAATTCTATGTTCATATCTTGTACCTTGAGCAACTACTTGCAAGATAACATGTATTAACTACTGTTATTCTCCTATTATTCAGTTATGAAATTTTGTTTCACCTTTTTTTCCCTAAAAAGATAAGGTTGGTATTAAAGGAAGTGTAAGTTAACTCATTTTAAAAAGCGATCACATTGACAATTAGATGAGGGTGGAAAATGATGTGTCACACATGTGAAATAGACTGCAAACATGTACCAAAATAAAATTTAAATAACATTGCAATTACTGCATAAGACATATCACAGTAAACAAAATGCTGTTAGAAAGAAAATCAAAATAGATGCCGTCACAGCCCTTAACAAAAGAAAATGTGCTATTCTCTGTTTTAAGCCTCTCAAAAAGAAATAGTTTAAACTACTAAATATGAGGGTAAAAAAAATGCATCTGATGTTTTCCAAAGAGACATGTTTAATAAAATTACTTAAAAATATATAATAATCATGCTTATGTTTGTCACATAGTGTCACAGTTACTAAAACCCTGTGCTTAACAATTAAAATTTATGGTATGTAACAGAGGTTACATACCACTTATTTGTTTAGCAATATTTAGTTATTAAAGAAAATGTACTTTTCACTGCCTGCCTGGCAAGCCCGACGTTGTAAATTCAATACCTGGGACCCCCCAAAAAAATGAAAGAAGAAAATGTACTTATTTGAAAACAAATTTGCTTTACTTAAAAATATAATACTACAAAAAAAAAATCAACAGATCTTGCTTATAGAGTTTCAGTATTACTTTCTTGCTCTTGAGAGGATGCCTGGGTTAGATCATCTTCTGTGAACTGATGAACAGAGGGAGAAACAGGAGGAACACTATTCTGTGGAAGCTGGAGATCTACCAATGTTTGTTGATTGATTCTTTGTTAATTGCAAAGTACTAAACTGAATAGTGGAAAATAAAAGTCAAAAAGTGAAAACAGCCATAGAAATCAAGCTAGTACTATAAGGTACAAGAAGTGGAGTAAATGGTGCTGTAAGAAAATATGACAGGGGTCAGCACAGTTTAAAACTAAATTATTAGCTTAGGGTATTACATGATTTTGTTGAGATACATAATATTAGGTTGACCTGAGTAGGCCTTTCTGGAGCAGCAAGCTGACCTTAACTGAGACTAGACCAAGTGAGGCCTTAACCAGATCGACGCGGGCAAATCTCCAGGCAACAGGAGCCGCACCCTGGGGTGGGAAGGGACCCAGCTTGTGGAACAGCAGAGAAGCCACCACGCCCAAATCCAGGGAGTGAGGGTGGCTCTGATTGGCGACACTGGGTCAGATGATGTTCTTGTGGCAAATGATTTCGGACTTCGCCTAAAGGTTATAAACAAGCTGATTAGTGTGAGAAAGGCCAGAGAGTTAAGAAAAAATGTGAACGACCAGACAACAACGGTGGTTTAGGTGCCTCACTAAAAAGAAATAAGGAACAGCGGCTTCACCTGACCCACTGGGTCACGCTCCTGCTGAGTGATTTCCACGGCAGGGTTTGCACGGTGCTTTGCTGTTAAACCAGGTTTCGTCCCACTTCACTCAAAGTAAGAATTGATATTAGTTGCGAATTTATAAAGGCGTGAGAGTTTCGATGGAGGCTGTAGAAATCATGTCTCTTTTCTCCTTCTCTCCTTCTCCCTGTCGCAGTCCACCTTTCTCAGGCCCAGATCCCATGAAAACCTACAACATCATACTGAGGGGGATCGACATGATAGAATTTCCAAAGAAGATTGCTAAAAATGCTGCAAATTTAATTAAGAAACTATGCAGGTGAGCGTTTTAACCACAGTGTTTCTGAAAGGGGCATCATGTGAAAAACTTGTTTAACAAAATCATTATCTTACTTTTAGGGATAATCCATCAGAAAGGCTAGGAAACTTGAAAAATGGAGTGAAAGACATTCAAAAGCACAAGTACGTATTTTTTGCTTATAACTCTGATTTTAGAGTTTAGAAAACCCGAGGAGTGTTTCTCCAAGGTGACTTTCTTTGCATTGGTATATGGCTAATATAGTTATCACCCAGGAAGACCCAAGAGAAAACACAGCATGTGCAACTTTCAAAGGCCTTTTTTTTTTTTGAGTGTTTGAGCTGTATTTGAATCCAGCTGTGACTTTCCAAACTGTCACTGATTCAGCCTCTCTCAATTCACACTCTCTCTGCTCCATGAGCCCACACATGCAGAAAATTTGCACTTTTAAGTTGGAAAAATCTATTCTCTACCAGACTATTCAAAACTAAGTTTTCCATCACATCATACCTTATTTTTTAATTAAATGAAAAAATATATTTTTCAGACATCCCCCAGTTAGGTGATTTGCCAGAGAAGCAATGCAGGGCGGCATCTTCAGGATGGAATGTTCCCTGTTTTGACCATCCAAATGGTCATCTCTTTTGACTGTCTAACAGGACAGTTGACATCCTCTCAAAGGAACTTATTTACTGAGATACCTCCGAGTCGTATTTAGATGCCTGCTAAGGATTTGGTATAAGCATTTGCTATTACTGACAAAGAAACTTTAGTGGTACAGTGGAGGATAATCAGCTGAGGCGACGGACACACTGAGCCAGGGACAGATGGGAGGAAAGTTAGTGATGCTCCTGACTCTCTCCTGATTCTCTCCCGCTAAAATAAAGTATCCTGGAAGGGCTTTGCATATTATGACATTTATTAAATCGTAATAGATTGGAAACAAAGTCATACAGACATTATGACTGAAGCAAAGGGATAAAAGTATGTTTGAACGCTGGTGTTTAATTTGACAATTATACTTTTAAAAATATGCATTGCATAAAGTAAGCTAATTAAAAACACTTCAATTAAACAAACATTTTTGTCTCATTAAAATGTTCACGACTGCTTTCTACCACATGCTTCTCTGATACGTTGTAATGAGGGGAATTTAGCTGAGATTCAAAGCCTGTAACTGTCTATATTTTTCTTTTCTAGATGGTTTGAGGGCTTTAACTGGGAAGGCTTACGAAAAGGCACCTTGACGCCTCCCATAATTCCAAGTGTAAGTGCAATTGCAGTTTATCATTATATAATACACAGGATGGTGTTTATGTCAGTCAACAAACCTAGTATTTTTAAATTTTATTGAATGATCACATTAAATACAATACGTAAGACGTGCCATGTGAAAATAATCTCATGTTCTAAAATCCAAATTTAAAAACATACACATTTGGGGGTGGTTACTGTGTGATTTGCACTTATCTTTTTAAAAGTATTTTAAGTTTCATTTAGTGATAAGTAAGTTAACTTTTGTTACTGTAAATGCTAAATACATGCAGATAAAAATAGGAAACAGTAATGAACCTGCTGTTATCAGTTTTATCAGCTATCATTTCTTAGCCAGTGTGGCTTCATTTATGTCCCCCACAATTCTTTCTGTCCTCCCCAGGGTGATTTTAAAGGACTTCTGGGCACACTGTGTATCTTTTCAATCCTTCCTCTGAGTTTTAAAAGAGGACGATTCTCTTTTCTGATAGATTACTGAGTGGACTGTTGACATGATGTTGACCAGAAACAGATCTCAACTGATTGCATTTTTATTTTTCATCAGTAATGTGTCTGTTTCATAAAATATTTGGCATCATAATTAGAGAGTGAAAGGGCAATTTGTGATTCTGGGACTTTTATTTGTGTGCTGCTTGTCTCAAGACTGACTCAAGACTGCTGTTTGTACAGAGACATTTTCCCTTGTAAGATTTATTTCTGTACTAATATTTGTTTTTCATTAAACAATATCATGTCAAAACAAGAATTATCATGTCTCAGAGTACAGATGGTAATTGCATTCATCAAGTTTTATTTATTTATTTATTTATTTATTTAGTCTTTTTCCTTTTTATGGGTACTGGGATCGAACTCACAACTGCCTGCTTGCAAGGCAGGCGCTTATGCCGCTGAGCTAAATCCCCAGCCCCATGAAGTTTTATTTTTAGGACAAGAGCAAAGTAAGAAACTGGTGGAGATGAATGTTAGACCCATATTACCCTCACCTAAAATTTAACAAAGGTCACTTTTTATGGGTTTTACTGATGTTTTATAGATAGGGCTTGGCCCAGTACGTTTTCAGTAACTGTTCAAGTTTAGAACGGGCCCCATGGAACCTGGCTGCTGACTGCTTCTTCAGCCTCATCTTTTTATGTAGGAATCTTTTCCTTCATTCAAAGCACAGACCCTTCCCCCAGTCTCAAGATTTTTTTTCATATGCTTTAACTTCTTTATTAATTAAGAAAATAAAATCTGCTTTGGAATTCTACTACAGAAAACCGGGTACATCCTCTTGTTATTCATCCTCTCCCATTCCAGGTTGCATCACCAACAGACACAAGCAATTTTGATAGTTTCCCTGAGGACAGTGATGAGCCACCCCCTGACGACAACTCGGGCTGGGACATAGACTTCTAATGGATTTCTCTTACCTGCTTCTGCCTTGCTGAAGACAGCTTTTTCTGAGACACAGCTGCCAGCAAACTTGAGGGAAAGAGAGAAGATTAGTGCTCGGGGTCACCATGATGCCTTTGATCGATGCTGCTCCAGTAACTACAGTGGCATTAGGACTTATGCTTAGATGACAATAGTGCTCTTTACATGTTTTCTGTTTGACTCTAAAATAGCAGTTGACATGGTGGTCCTGAAGCAAAGCCTTTCATCCGTGAAGAGATGTTTTCTGTTGCAATGGTCTCGCTTTGCTCTGATAATCCTTTGAAAGACTGTAGGAAACACATCAATCTAGTAAAAGAGTCTGTACCTTGCTAGAATTATCTAGATAATGAAAGAATAATATATTGGGTACGATAGGTTACTATGGTACAGAATTTAGGCTAATCCCTTTCTTCAAGTAAAGGTTGTAGGATTTCTTACTGCAAGCCGGTGTATATACCGTATGAAAGAGGACCACACATCTGTGGGCCACAGAGTTCATGTCAAATCAGTGCTAAAAGTTTCATGATTTTATTTCCCAACAGTGCTGACGACAAGACTGAATGTTACCTTTTCTTTCAGACAGATTTTAAAAATTGCTAAGATAAAAGCACAACGGCTGCTGTGAATATTCACAGCAGGTGTATATGCATTTTCACAGAAGATTGAAAAGATGCATGATATTTGTTTGTTTCTTTTGATAAATTGGCATGACAGCGTGGAGAAAAAGGCAATTCCCAAAACCATTTCATTTTTTAAAAAGATGTTGTACTTAAAGATGGTCCTGGAAATAAGTGACTAGCAGCCAATTGGTTTTGTTTATTACCTAATATGCCCTCAAACTGAGGCTTAAAATATTCCCTTTTATAAAAATAAACCCTTGGGATGAGGGTAGGGTAGGGTAGGGTGGGAGGGAAAAGTACCCATCCAAAAAGTAAAATAAAAAAAAAACAAAAAACTATAGGTGCTATGTATATCTTTCATCTGTAATGTCAATGTCTGAACAGGCAACACAAATTCTAATCATTATATGTCTAGCCAGACTCAAGCATTTTCACTAAATTTATTAAATCAAACGCATGTCAGATTTCACTTCCACAACATAATCTAGATTTGAGAGGGAAAATGGTGATTAAAAATCTGTTTGACCTAGCATTTTGTCTTAGGCCTGAACCAAACAGAGAAAGAGCGAGCATGAGATAGAGAGACAGAGACAGAGAGATAGAGAGAGCGAGAGCGAGAGAGAGAGAGAGAGAGAGAGAGAGAGAGAGAGAGAAAGAGAGAGAGAGAGAAAGAGAAACAAAAACAAAGTAAGCACAAAGTCACGATTCCTAAGATCTACTAAATCAGAAACCTTACTTCTATGAGGTCAGAGAACAAGAAAGGAAACTGGCCACCTGTTGATTACATTTTTTCCTTGATCGAACTCAAACCCTTGTCATAGTAGGAAAGTATGAGAGAAAAATGAAAATCTGATATTTTAAAAATAAACAGATAAATAGAAAGGAAACATCATGATCCTGAAATTTCATACTAGCTAGGAAAGACGAGATGTGAAAACATCCAACTGATTTTCTTTTTTGTCATAGGGAAAAGAATCTACAAATTAAATTGAGTCTGTTGTTGGCAGGCCAGTTGACCATGATTAGCTGTCATACATAGCAGAGCCATTTGGGAAGCTTTTCTTGAACAGATAGCATTCTATCCATGCAGATAAATGGATAACCTTCCAGCTGTCTCACTGATTTGGAGCTATATGTAAATTTGGTATAATAAATACAGGTTTGCTGTAGAGTTTTTAAAATCAATCAAATATACGTTACCACAAAAATATGTCCAATCAGATCATGTAATAGCCAAGAAAGCATATATTACAAATTTTATTTTAAATTTTCATATTCAAAACTACCTTAGAATGTGACATCAGAATAAAATATTCTAAAATAATTTGGAGGATAAAACTACTAAGATATTATTGTCTTTGGAACTATCCCTCTTATAAGCAATTTCTCAAAATCAATCTATTTGCCAACATGTATATTTTCTGCTATACATTTTAGAATATAAAATTAAACATATTATATTCTAGCTCTGAATACTATTTCAGAAGTGTTATATTTCTTTTCATTGGGTTTTAAAATTATACAGTTCCACATTGTCTTATGTTTTCAATAATTTTCATTGGAAGTGCTGTTAAAGGCTTGCTAGAATAATGAAAAAATAAATGTGCTTTTACAATTACTGAAATATCCAAAACGCCCCTGAAAAATGAGCACTTACTATGGATTTTGTGACGATGGTTCAAGTCTAAGACAACCCATGATTTGTATCAGTTCTATGGAGAAGGAAGAAGTAGCATTCAGCACAGTGTGACCTTAGTGTTTTGGATTTTTTTTTCCTGCTTGTAACTGCATCTTGTTCATTTCACCGGCGCCATTGCATTAGGATGTCTAAAGCAATCACCAAAAACAAAGGTAAACTATATCTTCCGAAAATTACTTACTGATAACATTCATCTGATTTTCAACAGTGAATTTTAAGGAATTAAATCTTGTCTTAATGAAGACACTAGGGCTATAATTCATGGTCAGTCTCATAAAGTGCATCTCACTTTTTTCTGAATTGTTCATGGCCCCTCTTTTTATTTTCCTTTAAGAACATCTGAATCAGCTAGAATAGTGCCAACTCGTTTGATTTGTTAACTGACTTTCTTGTTAATACTTTGAGTTTGGGAAATAAGGGCTTTCTGTGTTTGTTCAACCACAGGAAAACTGCAAATTGCAAAGGGAAGGAATCTTGTAATATTTGAAATAAATTGAACTCATTAGAGAAAATGATTTCTGGAAAATTGATATAATCAACTTTTATGTTTGTTACCTTCTTCATTATTAAGATATGAATCAGATCCATGTCACATTTAAAACAAATTTATTTTCATTATCTTCTTTATGAGTCATACTTTTGCTTAAAATTACAGAGCATACATGTGAATTACACATGTATAATAATAAAATCAACTATTAAATCTCTCGTTTCATTTATGAATGTTGATGAACTGGTGATGAATTTAAAGAGGTCAGCTACCACATTAAACACAAAGATTTTAGAACTGATACCATAAAATAGAGGTGATCTGTGCATTTTCCATAACAATGTTTTGTTTCACAAGGACCACAGACAAATATTTATGTAAATAGATATTTTTGTGTGAAATTTTGTGGTACATATAACTTTTTTTTAGTGTCTCACAGCATTATTATTTCATTTTATTTGTATTGAATAATGTTTTTAGGTCCAAGTAGACTTGAATTAATGTCATAATTGTCAGTATTATTGAAGATTATGCCAACAGTACTGTTATTCATCTGTCCTATAGTTTAGAACATGACCTGGCTATCTGGCATTGTTGCAAGTGCCTTAAATTCATGGCATCTTATTAAAAAAAATTTGGTGTTATGCTGCATGACAAGACAAACACACCTCAAAATGTTGTCCTTTCTTAGCTTGCTGCGTTTTACAGTTCTTTCTGCTAACGATTTATAAGCCTTTATTACATAATATTGATCAATTACAGAAATGATGAAGTTGTTCTCTTATTTCTGTTACATGTACCAGAGCTGTGTATCTGTTAATGAGATACAGCGTCATTTCTGTGAAATGTATAAATGTATGTGCAGGTCAAATTAATATATGACATACTATCAGTCTGTATACAGGTATTCCTGTTTTGTCGAGCTGTGCAGATTCAGTTTTAAAAAATTAGTGCAGTCAAATTCTACCACATCTCATTTGATAGGCTCCATTAACAATGGTCCAACCCAAAAGAAAAATTGGAAGTGACTGCTAATCACACCTCGTTATGAAACCAATGATGAAAAAGTACCTTGGTGCACCATTAAACAAAACAGGATTCTTTCTCTGAGTTCTTGTATATGCAAATCATTTGTAAGGAAAGTTTTCAACAGAACTAAGAAGCAGAGCATTGCAAGTATGTTATGAGCCCTCCTCTTTATCTGCCCCTGCATCAACAGACAGCTCTGGGACCTTGGCAATGACTCAGAGGTTTGGGCTTTCTGAGTAAAGACATTTCTTTAAGCATCATCTATCCAATTTATTTCAATGTATGATGTTTTTACAACTGGTCAGTTCTTTTGTATTCTTATAGCTATGGTTATTGGATTGTCCTCTTCCGATTTGTTCTACATGAAAGAGTCCTTTGTTAGTCAGAATGCAACAAACTGTCATCAAATGGTCATTGACTACTTGCACTCTTTTGATGTAGATTAAAAACTTTTTCATAAATTTAACTTGCTTTGATTTGCTCTGTATTTTTCCTGCAGCTGTAATTGCCGAGTGCCTGTTGTATACTTTATAGAGTTGAAATAAAAAAAATTACTTTTGAACTTAGTTGATGTTTAATTCCAGAAAAAAATGTAAGGAACAGTGTTAGTACACACTATTTGAGTTGAAATTCTATGTAATATTGTACAATGTCACTACAACAATGATAAAAATGTCTATAATCCAAGCATCCTTCATGACATAATCTACTATAAAACTAATACAATCAATGCTTTAAAGATGAGAATAATATTGTCCATTAGAGGTTATATTAGATGGGAGATTAGGGAATTTAGTTTCTAGGAAAAGTAGACTTCTATTCAGGAAAGATACGAGAATCTCAAACATAGGTGCTCACATAAAACCAGAAACTAGCAGGTTTATTAGGTTACCACCACAGTCACCAGTTGTTCCTATAATCATTGTCATCAAACTCCGAAGTCTGCAAATGAAAGGAAGAATTTTCAAATGATTTAAAGTGAAAAGCAAGTTCACAAGTCTTTGTCTAATATTTGTTCACTGGATCCCTCAGTTCATCATCAGACATGTGAAGAATATAGATTCGGGCAACACTCCCGTTATAATACCCTCAACTCTCCAGAACCCTTGGAAATATATTCTTCCTACATTGATTTGCTGCTCACTGCAATAAACGACGAACACACTAAAACTAGTATAGAATAAATCCCTTCAGTTTGGCGGCTTTTCTCATGTTCCCATCACCTTGTGGTGACAGTGAGTCAAAAACCCTTGTTTACGGGAAACTGAAAATTTGGCTCAATTTACTTTCTCAGGTGGAGCCAAGGAAACAATTTGAAAAAAAAATGTCAGTATAACACATCCAATAGTTTTATTTCTGCTGCAAATAGATCTATGACTTTAGAAGCCATTTTTTTATTTTTCATACACTAGATCTAAGAGTGACATTACTTAATACTGAAAGATTACTGCTTTTTATCATTCCCAAAGTAGGAGCAGTCTGCAGACAGACACTGATGACTATGATGAGATTGAAGAGGCGGGACTGGTCGGTGAAGGAGAGGGTGTCACATCCTGTCAGTGTGAATTTCAATGGAATTAAATCAGCATACAATTATTCAACTATAACAGTAGTTGTAGAATTTGACTTTCAGTCTTGCAGGGGTAGCTGGAGGCTGTAATCACCCATACTGATCACATTATAGTTGAAGACCTATCTTCAGATTCTCAGTTAAGACTTTCAAGGTGACATGTACATAAGGGCAGCTGCCACACTAACACTCTTTGCTGAAAGTCCTCTTTCCATTTTTCCTGTTTCCATATTCTCATTAAAGATCTTATGTGTTGGTAGATAAAACATTAGTGCTCATCTCTAACAGCTCTGTCTTTCACCTAAGGTGAATTCTGGCCCAACTGGATTTTGATGTCAGTTCAAGAATATCCAGTGTTCTCTCCCTGAGTACTGCCCTGCTTCACCTAAGGTGAATTCAAAGTACAAATCCACCCACGTTAATTAGCAAAATCAAATTTCCAGTAAAATCATTAGTGAAATCATTAAGTTTAACCTCATGAGAAAAAAAAATTGGAGCAAGAAGAGGAGGAGGAGAGAAAGAAAGCAGAGCATAGCTAACAACGTCAAAGAGTAGCCACAGATTTCATAAAACTTAATGGACCATATCAGGTTATGATTAGACCAGTGTTTTTTAAACATTAATGTCACACAATGTATCTGAAGTATAAACTAAAAGCATAATTTCCGTGATTGTGCACACTTACTTTGAAGTATTCCCTACAAATCTTAATTTTTAACAAGCACTGAATTTATTTTGACAGAAATGCACACACACACACACACACACACACACACACACACACACATATCCCCACACCACAGAAACAGTAAAGTACGTGGGACTATATTTCAGAAATGGTTGCGAAAAAGTCTCTACAGAATCATGGACACCCAAAACATACTAAATACCCCCAAAGTGTTAACCAATATTTGTAGTGCCTTAAATTCTCTTTTCAATTAACGTATGAAAACATGATGTTAATAATAAACCATTAAGGACTAGAAACACATGTTGATTTATAAAACCTAAAAATACATTTATACTTACTTTTGGTATCTGGTACATTAGAGTAAGGTAGTTCGAACTGATCTGCATTAAGACTGTCAGTCTACTTAAGGAGGAATAATAACGGACTTTTCTGGCCCAACTGGATTTTGATGTCAGTTCAAGAATATCCAGTGTTCTCTCCCTGAGTACTGCCCTGCTCCATGGGAACTTCAGCATTTTGATTTGCTTTGACCATAAAGGGGTAAGTCTGTCACTTTACACAGAAGCTGTAAGAGCCAGTTACACTTCAACGGATTTTCTTTCCTCCACCGTGTGATGAGCAACTACTAGGCAGTGGCTGCACTGTCAGCTTCAGAGGAAGGAGGGTGACAGTATATGGGAGCAGAGAATCCAGCCAATTCTCTAAGGCTTTGGCCTGGAATGAATTGCTTTCAACCACTAGCATTCTGGCTCTGTCTGCTGAAGCATTTCATACCAAAAAATGATGAGAGACAATAGGAAAAATTTCTAGGCAATCAATGAGTTTATTAAAGTTCATTGTGAAAGACTTTCAGACATTAAAGGTTTAAAACTTAGTTCTTTGATCACAGCCACATGTTACCTACTGTTGTAATTAGGCCAGTGCAGATTATCAAATATTTACAATGTTCCAGAAATTTCTATCAGATAATGTTGATCTGAGATATCATGGCAAAAGGAGCTAAATATACATTCATGCAAATCCAAACTGCATCTGTATTTCCAAAGTAATTGAAGAAAAAAATAATTTTACTCTCAAATTCTTTTTTACTATTAGAAGTAAAATATATATTCCAGGTCATTTTAGGCTGTGACCATAACCTGGATTCCAAAACCATACCTGAATCATACAAGAAAAAAATCATAATTCAGTTTTCCTATCGACATGGGCATAAAATATTTTTTTAGTGTGTTAGTCAGTGTTTCATCAACATGACCAAAAAACAGAGGAAAACTCTGAGGACTAAGATTTATTTTGGCTCACGGTTTCAGTCCACAGTCAGCTGGCTCCTGTGACAGGTCAGAAGCATCATGATGCAAGGGAGTGATGAGGGGAGGTTGTTCACCCCACTGCAGACAGAACAGAGAGTGAGGACAGAACAGAGCAGAGGAGGCTGGGGACATGCCCCGTGACCCTCTTCCTTCAAGCAGGCCTGGCCTTCTGGTGGCCCATTCAACTGTGAACTCATCAACACTCTGATGAATCCCTCATGTTACAATCTCTTCCCTAAAGGGCAAACCCCAATGCCTCTACATCAGGACACAGCCTTTAACACAATGATCCTCCAGTAAAACAAGTTAGATCTACATCATATCCATTAGCAAAGTAATTCCCGCAACACACACATCTTAAAAATAGCCAACTTCACTTTATCTTTGGGATAAACTTTATACCTGGATCACTTGCCTCTATGTGTAAACCAGGGGTGGTGATCCACAGAATGTGTGTCACTTGTTATTCTTCTAAGACAAAAGATGTTAATGTATGAGTTGTTTTTTTTTTTTTCCTAAACTAAAATCTCAGCATTTTGGGTTAATTGCGGTGTTGGCCCTTTGTAATCAGTGTGTTTTTAGTTGCAGTTTGGGCTCTTGTCTCTAAAAGGTTCCCTTCACTAATGTAGACCAACAGGAAGAAAATGGAGGTTAAGCTGTTTTCTTCTCTTTCAATATTTACTTTTTATCAGCACACGTTTACAGCACACAGTGATCACATTCCTCATGAGGAGGTGGTGCGTGGATACAGCACACCTTAAATCTTTTCCATCCGCTTTCTCTTGCCTCCCTTCCCTTCTGCCTTTTCGTCTCCTCATTGGCAAAAGATCTCCTTTTGTATTATTGTTTGTATCGATGCTTCTTTCACTGATAGCAACTTAAAATGATGAGCACACACACATTCATCTTAAAGCTCTCAAAAACCTGACAGCAGATGCCGTTTGACCTAGGATAAGGCTAAATTCATCATAAATTGAAAATTCTCTAAGTCCAAAGTGCATTACTAAGCCTCGCCTACCTCACATCCGAGCTCAGCACCCAGCTCACTGTGGGCACCCCTGGCTGCTCTTCTGATTGCGGAGCTGACTGGGAACTGCACTGCCCCTGCCCCCATTTTCTCAAAAATAGTTTCATTCTTTTCCCCTGGTACTGGAAATTGAACCCAGGGACTCTCGAATACGATGTCCCCAGTCCCTTCTACCTTATTCCCTTCCTATTACCTTCCTTCCCCTCCTCTCTCTGTCTCTGTCTGTCCTTCACTTCCTCCCCCGTTTCTGTCTCTCTCACTCTCTTCCTTCATGTGCAGACAGGATCTCACTAAACTGTCAAGGCAGGACTGGAACTGCCTTGACAGCCTCCTTTAGTGCTAAGACCTCAGATAAGAGTTTTGTAAGCTATGGCCATATCGCTGACATTCCAGGAAAGACCAAAAATCAAACTTTTAGTGTGGTTTTTTAATGAGTAGGTATTTCTTTTGCACCATTTTCAAGCTGAAATATTCTAAGCTCGACCAGTATGAAACCAGACCACCTGTATGTCTCATGGGGGAGTATTCACAGAAATCAACAAAAGCCAAATACCAGGGCTGCGTTTAGGGATGAATCCAAATTTTATGTGGCTTTTACGAATATTAAGAGTCACAGGCCTACATCGCTCTTAATAAACTTTTAAAAGGGGGAAAAAACCACTTAACAAATACTGGATTATTTTCTATCTCATTCATTACATTAAAACTCTTTTATTTAATTATTTATCTAATTTACATTGTCAACAAAATGATAGCAATGTAACTTCCCAAATTCAGGATTCTGCCTGCCAGTTAGAAACTCTACATAGGAAGAACACACGTGCTTTAGAGCTGTAGACCTCACAGCTCCCTTCTAAAGTTATCTGCAAAAGCAAATGATAATAGGGAATAGGAAATGGAAAAACAAAAAGTTGATATAATAGCTAATCTGTCTTAATTCTTCTATAAGTTTAAGTAAGTTTGT